CGGGAGCCACCGGATTCTGAAATGCAAGTGTCCGGTAGAGTAGACGCGGCCGTCTTAACACACAGACTTCTGTGTCAATGTAAAGGTTATAAGCAGGTGGTTTTAATTTAATTGTATTCCGTCAAATGCTGGGAAAGATAGTGTCATTCCTCTCTAGGAAAAGGTCAGCCGACTGTTCCCTTTAATGTAATAATTTGCCGAGAACTTGTAACAGTGGATACAAAACACTACGTATGAACTTGTGGTTTCAGCTTTTTTGAGGCCGTTGCATCTTTAACGTTTTGTCTCTTCTTGAGCGTTTCCATTTTTTAGCCAATGAAAATGTAAACGAATTGACATAAAAATCCTTAAAATCTCAGAAACAAGTAAAATAGAAAAAAAAATATTTGAATGCTTAAAAGGAGCTATTCCTGAAGTATTGAATATGCGATGTCTCAATTGTGATATTGTTAAACGTAAATTTTTGGAGAATAGACTGTTTTCCATCTCCTACCTAGTTATTTGTTTTAATGGGAATATACAGAGCTCTTTAATCGAGTGCTTATTTTATTAGAACTGAAAGAATATTCTGTATATGTTACTGTTTGGGAAAGGACCTGAGTAAATCTCCAACAGCTGGAGCCATTTGAGACTTTCTAATTACCATCATAATTATATTAACTAACTTTTAATGGGCACTTGATTATTTGCTAGACCTTGCTCTTCTGTGCTTCCTGTGTGTTAGCTAATTTAATCCTTTCATTAGCCAAGTAATACAGGCGCTATTATTGTTTCAGTTTTACAGCAAAGGAGTGCCTTACAGAGGGTAACCACTGGGCTAGAGAAGGGCAGTGCCCACAAAGACCCCAGGCAGTCCAGCTTTGGCCAAAATACATTACTACCTCTTCATATTCTTCTGCACGATTCCTTTTTTTGAAAACATATGTAGCAAGAGGAACACGGTATTTCACAAAACAATATTAGTCTTAAAAAGCTACATGACCTGACTTTTTAAAGGAATATTTTTAAAGCCTTCTATTCATTAAGCCTTAGCTAATATGTGAATAAATCAGTTTCCTAACATCTGATATCTCATTCATTTTCTTAATGTAATGTTCCATCTTACAGCCTTGATATTATTGGCACATAATGGATAATGCCAGTTAAATTTTTTTAAGCTTCTCTTTTTTGTGTGTGGGGAGAGTGTTGCTATATAGAGTGGTGATTCTTATTAGGCTATATTTTTGCTAAATTTTTGCAACGTAAGAAGACACTTAACAGGGCTGGTAACCTGTTTTTAGTCCTCGTGTGTCCTGTTTTCACAGGGGTATAAGCACTTAAAACAGCCAATTCGTATAGTCCTGTGAACCAGCTGTAAATTGAGTTAAACACTAAATGATCAACTTTATTTTTTTCTTAGCTGGGGTAGGAGGGTTTGCTTTAATTTTAGAGTATTACAGCAATCTTATGTGTTTATTTAAACTAGGAGGCATTTTAACCTCAGTTGGTAAGGAAGCAAAAGTAGATTTAGATTTGTAGGTTAATTGAAAGTTTTCCTTTTGTTTTGTTTTTTACTTTAATTGTATTGAAGATCAGTTTCTAGTTTTTTCCCAGATCTTTCCCACATTCTTGGCCTCTATTTAGTTATAATAGAAAGTTAAAAAAAAAAGTTAACATTCTTATAACCAGTTCTCCTCAGAAAGCCTTTAAGTCGATCCTTTCAACAAGTATGAGAAGATGCATCTTCCTCATGATTCTTCCGCTCATTGTTTTTCTAACCTTTTAAATGTATAGGGTGATAGTGGAGATAATTCAAACGACGGGACCCAGCCATCCAAAAGGAGGCGCATGGGCTCGGGAGACAGCTCTAGGAGCTGTGAAACTTCCAGTCAGGACCTCAGGTACCATCATTTTATTGCTTAATAGTTTATGTGGTATGTCTCTCTGCATTAGCGCTCTTCTCTCCTCTCCCCAGCCCTGACAAAGGTAGCTTTCAGAAATTGGAGGGTATGTCTCGTCATGTTTTACAGTGTGACACCAAAGTTGCTTTTGTTCTCAGTGCAATTAATTTTTAAATATTTTTGGTAAAATGCACACAAAATTCACCATTTTAACTATTTTTAACTGTATAGTTCAGTGGCATTCATTACATTCATAGAGTTGTGTAACCACCAGAACTTTCTCACTACTGAAAACCGAAACACCATAACCATTAAGCACTAAAAACTCCCATTTCCTCGTTTCCCCAGCCCCTGGCAACCACCACTCTGCTTTCTATCACTACGAATGTGCCTATTTCAGGCACCTTGTGTAAGTGGAATTTTACAATATTTGTGTCTGGCTTATTTCTTCAGAGCTCATCCATGTAGCAGCATATATGAGAATTTCCTCTCTCTTTAAGGCTGAGTTACACTCTGTTGTGTGGGTGTACCATGTTTTGCTTGTCTGTCATCTGCTGATGGACATTCGGGCTGTTTCCACCTTTCGGATGCTGTGAATCATGCTGCCGTGAGCACTGGTGCGCGCACCTGTTCTGAGCCCGTGCCGCTGTTCCTAGAGTGGAATGGTTGGATTATGTGGTAATTTTATGTTTTCCACAGTAGATGTATCACTTTTGTTCCTGCCACGGTTTCCAGTTTTCTGTCCTTGTCAGTTTGTTATGTTAGGGAAGGTCACGCTGCAGTGAAGAAAGGGACTGGATTCGGTGCCAGAAGCTCGATGGTGATACAGGGAGGCGGTTAGGCCGCCCGGTGAGGCCAGGCTGCCCTCTGGCTGGACAGCTCCACTACGCTCTGCTCCGCGCGCCCGCTCCCCGCGATCCTCTCTCCCCTCTCCCCGCGACCCT